AGCTGGAATGGGTCACTTCTGATTGGCTTTGAGGCAGCAGCTTGTTGCTGGGTAGGGTTGCTGCTTGGTTTTGATTGGCTGAGCCTGGGGTGGGGAGCCAATCAGAAAGGTTGAACAGTGATTGTCTGAGGCTCAACATGTGTGCCATTCTCCCTGGCTTTCTGAGCCTGTGTTGCCAGCATTCTGAGCAGCATATGTGAGTTTATATGTTTATTTGAATGCTGTTTACAGTGTACAGTAAATACATTGATGTTGCAACATTAGTTATCAATTCATTTAGTACAAAAAATCTGGGTTATTGTGGTGAAAATAGTCTATCAAGCCTTTGTTCAGGAACCAATCTCCACTTCATACCATTGATTCCTATGGGAAAACAATTTCGACTTACAATGTTTCAACTTATGACACAATTCGTTCTTCAGAATTGTGTTGTAAGTCAGAGGACTCCCTGTATTTTAAAAATGTAGGAAATTACACACTAAAAATTGTGTTAAAAGAACATTATTAAGGTTGCAATACCAAGCACCCAAAAGCTAGGAAATGCCAGAATTAAGATTATACATTTAATTTAATTCGTCCCCCTTGTTCATATGCATTATGATACAGTTTCTGTGCCATGATTACATAGTATTTTTTTCCACAGACCCCCTGCCTCATTCAGTGCACAGGATGGGTTTGCTCAGGGGATTAAACAGGGTTGTGTAGTGAAGAAGACCTGTCTGTAGGACCCTGTGTCATTTGTGGCAGAAAATGGGTAGCGTGTCGTGAATGAGGCATGGGATGCAAAGAGAGAAGGTGGTCTCATGATTAAGGCAGTTGATTGCTGCCCTGGAGAATTGGATTCTATTCCTGTCTCTACCATAGTATTATTATATGATGCTTGACAAGTCACTTAACCAAACTTTTCATGGTGGTCACTAATTTTGTGTTCCTCATTTTCTGGGTGCCTGAGATGAGATTTGGTGTCTGATCTGCAGAAGTGTGGAGCATTCACAGTTGCAACTGAAGTGAATGGGAGCTGTACTTAGTATTATATAGCACTTCATTTGTTCAATGTACTCTGAAAAATCATGTCCTGGTCATCTCAAATTGGTTACCAAAATTAGTGGATACTTTTGACCTTAATCTCTTTGTACCTCAGTTCTTCATCTGTAAAATGGGAATGATAATCCCTTCTCATTTGGATGTTGTGAAAGTTAGTTAATGTTTATGAATCACTCAGATACTGTAGTGATGAGCACCATAGAAAAGGCCTAGAGGAAATTAATAATCCTGTCTTCAGAATAGGGTTTGAGTAGCGTGTAGTAAGCACAGCTTGGGGTCACGCATTGAACAATGAAGGGAAAACAAAATATTGAATAGGTGCTCATTAAGTGAGCCCTGCCCATCCTGTGCATTGAGTGAGGTAGGAATCCCATTGAAAAAATAGTCTGTGAGTGGATAAATTGCTGCCTTTAGAGCTGGGTGGCTGGAGAGCGGCAGCTGTTGGTCAGGTGCCCAGCTCTGAAGGCAGTGCCCCGCCAGCAGCAGCGCAGAAGTAAGGGTGGCAATACCATACTATGCCATCCTTAATTCTCCACTGTTGCCTTCAGAGCTGGGCGGCCAGAGAGTGGCGGCTGCTGACTGAAGGCCTGGCTCTGCAGGCAACAGTGCAATTCCATACCATGCCATCCTTACTTCTGCACTGCTGGTGGTGGCAGCTCTGCCTTCAGAGCTGGGATCCTGGCCAGCAGCCACTGCTCTCCATCTGCCCAAATCTGAAGGCAACGCCACTGCCAGCAGCATTACAGAAGTAAGGCCTGGTCCACACTAACCCCCCACTTAGAACTAAGATACGCAACTTCAGCTACGTGAATAACGTAGCTGAAGTGGAAGTACCTTAGTTCGAACTTACCACGGGTCCAGATGCGGCAGGCAGGCTCCCCCGTCGACTCCACGTACTCCTCTCGCGGAGCAGGAGTACCGGCGTCGACGGCGAGCACTTCCGGGATCGATTTATCGCATCTAGACAAGACGCGATAAATCGATCCCAGAAGATCGATTGCTTACCTCCAGGTCCGGCGGTAAGTATAGACTTACCGTAAGGGTAGCAGTACCGCAACCCCCCCCACAATAACCTTGTAATCCCCCCCCACATACACACACACACACCTCCTTTTTGGGTCAGGACCCCTACAATTACACCCTGTGAAATTTCAGATTTAAATAGCTGAAATCATGAAATTTATTATTTTTAAATCCTATGACCAAGAAATTGACCAAAATGGACCGTGAATTTGGTAGGGCCCCACTCATAATATGCACAAAGAGGTTGAATTAAGGTTGCACAGGTAGCTTTAATCCATTTTGGACAGCCACCAGGCCTGACTTTTATATTGTACAGTACCTGTGCTTTTGTTACTTTCATAATATATTATCTTATACCTTAAACCAATATATTTTTGAACTACTCAGAAGTCATTTGTCATGGATCACATCCTGTCACGTTCTCACTAGCATCTATTTAAGTTGCGCTGAAAGGTTTCAGCCATTGTTTTTAGGTGTCATATTTGGTTATCGGCTTGCCTAGACTAGAGAAGTTCCTGTTATAAATACGTGATGACAGATCATCTTCTCCCCAAAAGCAACAGGGGGAAGGTCGGGCAGAGGGGACTAAATGCTGTGAGGTTCCCCCTCAGAGTTTAAAAAAAAAATTGTCCTGCCTGGCAAGATTAGGGGGTCACAGAACAGATGAAGTGATCCATATATCCCTTGAGACAGGAGTCATCATATGTGGATGGCTGTCTCTGAACCCGGCTATGCTTGCCCCTTTTTTTACTGTTGAAGTTTCTACAGGACCTATTTGCTTCTTTGGACTGAATCCCTGTGCAGCAGCTGCAGAAAGAACCCAGTGGGAGCTGATGTTGCTTCAAGCCATGTGCATCTGCTTTTTGGCTTACAAAGCTTCGCAAGTGAAAGTTACTAATAAACAGCAAGAAGTTTAGCATCAGAATTAATCACGGATTAAGTATGAGTTGCATGACACAGGAGTTTTAGTAGTGTTTACGACTGCTGAGATAACTGAAATGATTCAGGCAGGCTCCTGATTTGAAATGCAAAATGATACTATTCTGGAAATGGTTCTCAAACAATTTCACATGCTGTTTGAATACGTATTCAAAGCGTATATTGTCCTGGGCCAGGTAGGATTTTTTTATATTGTTGTTGATAATATTGATTTCTCCTTTATGTTGGTGTCGGGAGCTGTCTCTTACTTTCAGAGTAAGAATGGTTTCCATTTTGGTGAAACGCTCATCATTTATCTAAACTACTCTGCAGGAATCCTCTTCCCCCTCTCCCCCAAGAAAGGGGGGTGTTATGGTTCTGAACATACATAGTATCGTACCTCTGATCTAAGCCAACGATGGACTTGACTGAGTAGATTCTTCCAAATTCTTACTACTATGATCTTATACATGTGTACTCTGACTTACCATTATGAATGTTAATGGATTTATTTCTAATGTATCTTTTTGGGGGGGTTTTACTTTCCTTACTTAATTCAGATCTGGAGTTACTGAATATACATATGTGTAAATGCAAGGACATCTAGTAATTAATATAAAATATTTAAAATGTGTGGTGAAAACTGTTTTTTATAAAAACATTTTTAAAAGATGTTTAGTTTTACAATTTTAATGTTTTCAGTTTTTGGTATAATTATTTTGTAAATACTTACATACTGTATTTATTGTTCCTTATTGAACAGATTGCTGAGTAACTGGATTTCCAATCACAGAAGGAAAATATCATGTCTCGATCACGCCAGCCCCCTCTTGTAACTGGTATCTCTCCCAATGAAGGGATTTCATGGACAAAAGTCACAATTAGAGGAGAAAACTTGGGAACTGGGCCAACAGACCTCATAGGTAAATTCAGAGAAATGGTTTGATGCATTCCACATTTTTAGACTGCAAGAAACTGCTTGGTGACAGATTCTGATATTTTTACATTCAGAGGAAATAAACGATGGGTAGTATGATAATATACAATTATCCCCATGAGTTTGGAAGGATGGTTTTGAATTGGTAATGTACACGTTAAATGTATGTGTACCTTATTACTTATGCCAGAGGTGGTTTGTTTTGTAGTTAGAGTCCATGGTGAAATCTGGCCGTAGTAAAGCCAATGAGAGTTTTGTCTTTGGTTTCAATGGAACCAGGATTTTACCCCATGATTGTAAAACAGAACTCCCAAGTTCTGTTCCCTACTCTGCCAGTGACTTTTGTGGCTGTGTTCAAATTGTTTAACTTTACTGTGTTTCAGTTTGCCATCTAAAAAAAGGGTATATCAACATTTTCCTGCTCTGACCAGGGTGTTGAAGCTTAGTGAATATTTGTTTAAAAACACAACCAAACAAAACAAAAAACCTTTGATATATGTAGGTTAAAGGCACTATATATACACAATTTTTGTTGTACTTTTTAGCATTCCATCTAATTCACCTGGACTCTGTGTTGCCACTTGAAGTCACGCTATGCCACGCCACACCACACCCCCTCCAATAATACACCTGGGCAATTGTGCATTACTTTACAGTGTAAATAAGTCTTCTTTCAGATCTTTGCTGCTAATCATCTTCTGTGTTGATGTAGGAGAGTTGAAAGTCATTGCAATTTTTATCTTAGCTTATTTAACATTTAGTTTATTCTGGGGAGTGTCGAAAGGTACATCTACACGTCTGTGGCTGGCCCAGGTCAGCAGACTTGGGCTTGTGGGGCTCTAAAATTGCAGTGTAGAAGTTCTGGCTTCCACTGGAGCCTAGGCTCTGTGACCCTGTGAGTGGGGAGGGTCTCAGAGCTCGGGCTCCATCCTGAACCCAAACGTCTACACTGCTATTTTTAGCCTTACAGTCGAGTCATGTGATCCCATGTCAGTTGATCTGAGCTCTGAGACTCAGTGCCATGGGTTTTTTATCGCAGCATAGACATTCCCTAAGGTCCCAGTCTTGCAAAGAGTTACACATGATGGGAGTACTCACTTTTGTAAGTCTTTGTTGGATTCGAAGCCTAATATTTTTATAAACCTCAGTTAAACTCTCCTTACCACCTGCTGCCAAAAAGCATTACAATTCAATAAAAAGTAGAAAATATTATGTGCTTGGGAATAAACTGAGTACCACGTGTATGAAGAAAGAGAATATGCCTTTTTAGGTCATTCTGTTAAAGACAACCAGGTTGTAAGTCACTTGCAACTTTGAAACTTTAAAAACACTTGCAGAAAAATTAAGAAAATACTTTTCATTTATAAGGAAGTTCTGTCATTTGGGAACAAAGTTTGTTTCTGGATTCAAATATGTATCGAGGGAGATCTTTTGTCAGTTTTAAAGTTTTAGCCCTGTGCCATTACTATATTTAGTGTGGTATGCAAAACATTAATGAAGAGCACATACATTACAGTGCCATGTCATTTATTATTCTGTGAGGTGAAGCCGATCATAGCAAATTTTTAAGTTAGTGGACTTCTTAAGTCCCATGTTCCCTGAGTAGTAATATTTATTTAAGAAATAAAATTGAAGGCAGGAAAGAAACTCTTAAATAATGTAGAAATCTTCAAATGATTTTGCACAAGTATAAACATTTCCTACATATTTTAGTGAAAATCCAAGTTAAATTATTCCATCAAGTTAAATTAAATAGTAATTAAATTAATCTTATTGAGTGAACCTTAAAACTGACCTACAAAGGAGGAAACAGGCTGCTCTTTTTTGCTTCTTTTGATGTATAAAAACATTCTGAATGTTGTTATAATTTAAAAAAATAAATAAATGCTTTTTTCCCCTTGCTAGTCTTTATACTAGAAAAGTCTGGTGTTGTCTACACTGGTTTTGTGGGATGACTTTATGTATATTTGACAAACTAGTGGCAATTATATCATAAGACAAGAGTCTTTAAATAGTGACTAAAAATCACTTTCGCTCTCAATTGCCCAGGTTTCAGAGTCTGATTTCTTTTTTTCTTTATTATTTTTTTAGTACCTACTTAATTCAAACTCCTATCACACCCTTGGGAAAATGTTAGATTCAACTGTCTCACCTTTTCAGTCGGAGCTGAGAAAAGTTTCACTCCAGCCTCTTATTTTTGTCCTTCCAAAAATTCTGGGCAAAAGCCCAGAAAAGACAGGGTTTGATATTTCATACATTCTGAAGGCAAAACACAAACATAAAACCTTTCTTTCTTTTTTTCCCTATCTCTCCCCCCCCCCCACCCAAAAACCCAAACAAACAAACAATAACACACTGCTGCACAGAGACAAGATTTATTTCTCTGCTGGTCACCTTTACTTTAGATCTTAGTTCCTCTGGTACCACTGACACATCTGGGAGTCCAGTTCCTCCATTGATTACGGTCACTCACTAGTTTTGTAGTAGTTCAGGTGATGCCAGCATATTCAGTTTACTATTTCACTGTCTTTTGCCAGTTCTTCCTTGGTCTTCCTCACTTTCTCCTTCCTCCCACAGGTACAATGCTTGCTTAACACTTGCTCCAATCTTCCATATGTTGTACATGTCCAAATCACCTGAGCCTTTTTTTGTTGTTGATATTTTCTAATATGTTCTGCTCTGTCAGCTTCCTTACTCTTACATTTGTTGTTTTGTCTTTCCATAAAATGTGTAATATCTTCCTCAGCCATTTGTGGAGATTACCCATCAATTGCTTTGTGTTAGCCATTGTCTCTGCTCTGTACAGTAGTGAGCTCAGTACAGTCCCATGGTATAGTCATGGTTTAGTTTGATGTGAAAGACCTCTGTTTGCTTTTTCTAATTTTGTATGAATATCTTTCACAGTCCCCTTCAAATGTCATCACATTCCCCAGATAGCTGAACTCTTCTACCTGTGTGATTTCTTTTCCATTCCCATACATCTTTACATCTGTTGTCCAGTTTCTGACCTTTATAACTTTTTACTTTCAATCCAATTTTTGCTGCTTCCTGTTCTACATCTGATATGAGGGGAATCATTCAGTTCCACATCATACTTAGTAAAGCAATTTCATCAGCAAAGTCAAAGTCATGTAACTTATCTCCGCTAACCTATTTTACACCATCCATAGTGTCTTTTGTTGCCCTCTTCATCACCCAGTCGGGTGCTAATTCAAAGAGGATTGTTAAATAACACAGATCCTTGCCCAACTCCAGTCACAATATCACAATAATCACCCAGGCCTATATGCGACCTCACTGCACATCTGCTTCCATCATATAAACTCCCTTATTATGTTGATCAGCTTAGTATCCCATAGCTTCTAGTAATAGTCTACAAATGGCGTCGTGTCATTGCCAAAAAAGGGTGCTCTCATTCAGTGCATGAACTGGAGAGGTACTGCAATCAGTATTGGATACCATTTTGCTGAATAGAATGAAGAAGGCAGTGGATGGTCACCTTTAAAAAATATATAATTTATCTACCATCCCTGTACATTTTAAAAATAATTCTTTCTGAATATTCTACTCTGTTATAACAAGCATTTTAGTCCCCTTAAAAAAAATGAATTTGCCCAGGTAGAGATGTGCTATCTGACAAAAACCTCAAACCTGCCAAATTGTCTACTGTGTGCAGTCAAAGAATTAAATTATGAGAAAAGAAAGTGTGAAATATTTGGGGCTGTGTGACACATGCGGACCTTTTTCATGTAAGTATCTGTTAAATTGGTAAGAGGTTTCTAGAAATTGAAAATACAAACCAACCCAATTAAAAAAAAAAACTGGCATTGTCTGATTACAGTGATGTACCATCTGTATTGGGGCAGGAGTTAAGCTAGACACCTACATCTGAAAACTGAATAATTAATATTTGAGCAGTGTTTTGAAGATCTAGAGGCTGATCAGCAATGTACTTAGTACATAGGGAGAAACAGTTTCAAAGGCACCTAAATGATTAGGAGCTTAAGTCCTATTTTCAAAAGTGCCTACCTCCCACTGAAAATCAATAGGACTTAGGTTCTTAAGTGACCTATGTGCTTTTGAAAAATATACCCATGATTTCCTTACTGTATTGGGTCCACATAATACTATAGAAGAGGTACAGATGGCTTGGAAGGATTAGATTTTTACCAGTCACTGTCAGTAAACATTGATTTCACTGTACGTACACTGTACGTACACAACAAATACTTACACTGATAGTAATCAAAATATAAAGATAAGCAGCATTTTTTGTACTTTGCCTGAGAACTTATTAGAGTTAAAATCCAGTTGTTTAGATTTTTGAATTAGACTTGTTACAAATGGATTAGGGAATGAATAGTAACAACGGGTCTGATTTGTTGATTTAAGGATATTTACTTTGTATATTTTGACATGTGATGTTGACAATTTGTATTTTAACAGCTTATAATGCTTAATAGTTTGAATCTATTTGTCATTAAATAATTGTCTGACATCCCCCACCCATAATTTTCCACAACTGAAAGTTTAAATGCATAAAAATAGGAAAAAATGCTTAAAAATAAACATCAATATTATTCATCTAAATTATAAAAGACAGGATTGGCAGAATTCTTTTATTTGTTTATAACATGTCTAGATAAACAGAAAACTAACTATTGTAAGATAGACTGTATTTCATCAGTTTTATTCACAGTAAGTCTTTGATTTCCAGGTTTAACAATCTGCGGACACAATTGTCTGCTGACTGCTGAATGGATGTCTGCCAGTAAAATAGTGTGTCGAGTGGGACAAGCTAAAAATGATAAGGGGGACATTATTGTCACTACAAAATCAGGTGGCAGAGGAACTTCGACTGTTTCCTTCAAACTCCTGAAACCTGAGAAAATAGGTATTTTGCCTCATTCAAACTTACAATTGCTTTTGCTAAATAATTAAATTGACTAGATGTCTTTGGTTTTGTAAATAACATTTATTTATAAAATTTAACCCACTGATAGTTGTTCCTTAGTTACTCTTTACTTGTTTAGTACTTGCAAAATATATACTAACAATACACATTTTGGGTTGAAACTGCCTTTTAGGTATACTTATACGTTGGTCATTGAAGGCATCTGTTTTTCTGAAAGCGAAAACTCTTTAGAATGGATATTAATACTTGTAAAAACGACAGTCCCAGTAATCAAGTTATTTAATGGGCTATTAAGCTTAATGAATCAGTAAAAGACACAAAAGGAATGTGTGGACGGTACACCTATAGTTCCTTCTGACTGTTATCCTTTTAAAAAAGGAGTTGAATGTTGGATGCTGTTATAATTAAGTAACATTAGCAACTAATACCTGGTGAGAGAGAGAGAGACCCACCCACCCCTACCTCTTTTTGGGGTATTTCTAGTGTGTTGTTTAATAATTAAGAATGTTGTCAGGTAGTCTAACCCCAAATTTCATCTGCAATCCTGTCAAAAATGTCCTTTGAGTAAAAAAAAAATTAGAATCCAATCTAGATCATTGAGAAATTAAGATAGGCACTGTTTATATAAGGGCTACACAAAAGCAACAGTTTAGGTTCTTGTTTTCTATGGTTCCAATGGCAATTAAATAACACATACTTTCCCCAGAGCTGTTCTAATGTTTTACAATCCAAATATTAATATTTCAAACTTTATTAGAAACTTGTGGGAGGGGGAAGTCTTGGGGGAGGAAGAAATCTGTGTTTTGCCAAACAGCAAAAGTCTGAGGGCCTTGACATGCTCCCTATGCTTGAGCTGTTGGGAGGAAGCCAGTTCTCTCTGCTCTACACTCATTGAGGACTGCCACATACTAGGGGACTTGCTAGCTAAGGGGCTTGTGACCAGAGTTAACTTTTATTCTGACTAAGTGGTGAAAATGAGGAATCTTCCCCAAAATTTATGAAAAGAGAGACTACATTAGCAGCTAGTATCTTTGACGGGTGACAGGGTTTGAGGTGATGAGTAAAAGACTTGGAAAAGTGCTATTTTATTATTTTCTGTTAACTTGTCTGCATTGGTACTTTGTATCTTAAACAGAACAGTGCAGTCTGTGAGATGTAAGGTGTGATGCCCTGCCACTGATACCTTTCCAGCTATTCTAAGCATAATTGTATCCAGGTTGTTTTGTTCTGTATCTTCCAAAATATTACCTAGGCACGCATTTTATATTTTTCAGTCTTTTTCAAATTAATTCAGTATGGCCGAGGTTGATGGTGCTCGACAGCCTTTGTTGTTTTAAGGATATGTGCTTTATTTTCTCTAGGTATCTTGGATCAGTCTGCTGTCTGGGTTGATGAAATGAACTATTATGACACGCGTACTGACAGGAACAAAGGGATTCCCCCCTTGTCTCTACGTCCAGCTAATCCGCTTGGTATTGAGATAGACAAGTGAGTACCAAATGCCTTTAATCCACTTTCTTAGTGGTTTTTTCTATACATCATTATATGAATTCCAGAAAAGTTTAACAGCTTAGAGGGTGGGGAAAGACCAGAAAATTCAATTGGCTGATGGCACAATACCTCGTATTCAGTGGTGTTTGGTAATTCTAATTTTTGTCTATATTACTGTGTGATCGATAAGAACGTCAGATAATCTGAGAGCCTAGTTCATTGAACCTTGTGATGTTTACAGTTTTGGGATTGGCAAATAACTTCGGGTCTAAGGCAGGGGTCAGCAACCTTTCAGAAGTGGTGTGCCGAGTCTTCATTTATTCACTCTGATTTAAGCTTTCGCGTACCAGTAATACATTTTAACGTTTTTAGAAGATCTCTTTCTATAAGTCTATAATATATAACTAAACTATTGTTGTATGTAAAATAAATAAGGTTTTTTAAATGTTTAAGAAGCTTCATTTAAAATTAAATTATAATGCAGAGCCCCCCGGACTCGTGGCCAGGACCCAGGCAGTGTGAGTGCCACTGAAAATCAGCTCACATGCCGCCTTCGGCACACGTGCCATAGGTTGCCTACTCCTGGTCTAAGGGTTTATACATTGCAGTTGTAGAACTCAGTGTTATGCTTGAGTTCTGTGGGGCTTTTAAGCGTGTTTAGATAGATATCTCTTTCTAGTATTGCAATGTGAAATATGTTTTATGTATCCATCAACTAGTTTACTTTTATTGAAACATTAATATGGGTTTCTAACCACAAACTCCTTGGCTTTCATTCACAAATATTGTAGACTTTATAAAATTGCTCTGTAATAAACTTACTCCCTTATTATAAATCTATCATAGGGCTTTAAAGGGACACTACCAGTGCCCAAAACATAATCGAACCTAAAATAGCATTTAGAAATAAAATTCCTCGGAAGTAAGATATCAGCCCCTTCAAAAACAAAGGTTGTTTAAAATTAGACTATTTTACTATGGGATCCATTCTGTCTGGAGTGCATGGCTTGTTTGTGATCTCTCTGTCCATTTCTTCAGAGTAGTGAAGGAGAAACTATTTCAGTATCTTCACCACCACACAAGAATGGGGCAGCATGATGCATATTTGTGAATCAAGAAAGCAGAAAGTTCTAATTTTTGGCCTCTCTCAAATTTGACAGTGTACCTTTTGAAATCGTTATCATAACTGTGTATGCATTTGGGATTTAATTAGGATATTGTCCCTTTATTCTTTCCACGATGGATAAAATCTTCTGTTAAATAATTATCATCATTCAAGTTTGAGTATCTTCATTTCCACAATTATTTCTGTAAAATACTTGAATTCTTACCACCCTAAATCCTGGCAATTACTGTTCTCTCAAAGTCTGAATCCTATCCCTAGTAAAATATTGAGAGTAATCATGTCTAGAAAATTGTCTGCTTTCCATTCATCTGTCAATTTTGTAACTGTATCCAAACAAATATTTGTCTGGCAAGATCTAGTCTTCATAAACCAGTGCTGCTTATTACTCATGACTTTGGTTATTTTTAAGATTGGCTTTATTTTGATAAACCCTTGGATACAGCCTCAGAACCTTACTGTCAAAATGAATTCAGATCAGCTTGGCTATGATTACTGTCACATGGATTGACAACTACCTGAAAGGAGTGTAAAAAAAAAGGATTTAATTTAACAAATGTTAAATTGAAAGAGGAGTCTAGAAGGTACAGATAAGTTTAGTATTGGATCCAGTCTTACTTAATATCTTCTTTAATTCTGTAGTAGTAGTAGTAAGTAGCATGTTATAAAATGTACAGTTACTTGTGTGCAGGGAGTGGTACAAAAATATTACAAAAGGTTGTGGAAAGATCTAAAAAATCTGGGCAGAAAACAACAAGAGGTGAATTCTCTTAGAAAAATGCAAGGTACGTCTGGGAAATTATAATCCCAAACACAGCTATGTAATGGGGAGGAGGAATCTGGGAGGTAATAATGCTGGGAAAGCCTTATCTTTAGGTTTGACTGAGGAGAGTGAATTCAAAACAAATTAGTAGTGAGACATCTGACCAAAAAGGACCAATACAATTTTGGGCTGCATGTGCTGAGATATTCCATGACACAGCAGTGAGGTAATAACGATAACTGAAATTGGATTATTTTGTGGTTAATATTGAGCACCTCTTACTAGAAAGTTTTTTTTTTTTAATGTATTTATTTTTACAAATTGGAGGAAGTTCAAAGGACAACAGAAATGGTTGTGAGACTGAAAGGATTGGTTTGTAAGGACATTTTAAAAGCTATATGGGTATAGCTTAGCTAACCATTGATTAAGTGGGTACACAAGTCTGCAAATACGGGAAGTGCATAACCATTGAGGGAGGGAGAGGTGGCACAATTAGGATTAATGCAATTAAATTAAGAAAGGTAAAACTTAGACCAAGTAGTTATAAGCATAACACTCTCTAATGGTAAACTTTACTAGGCTTTGGAATCCCAGTGAAAGTGGTGTAAGCTGCCCCATTGCTTGGCATATTTAAAACTGGACTAGAAGTAAGCCTAGTACAATAAAGAACAATCCTGCATTACCACAAAGATGCACTAGGTGACACAACATCTTTGACTCGCTTAAATTATTTAAACATGCACACAAGTTAGGATGCATTTCTCAGGTTTAAATTCAATTCAGGAATGTGCGATGGGCGTGCAGCACTGGTCTGACTTTGTGGAATTTGCATCCTCTGTGGGAACTTGGTTTGCTGCCTGGTAGAGGTGGGGGGAAATGTCAGCATACTAGTCTTGCTAATAATGGTAGACAATAGAAGCATTTAAAGAGGACTAACTGTGGAAGGAAAGGGGTGAAAGAAGAGAGAGAAAATGGGAGGTGGCAGGATAATAGGAAGTGAAGAGGGACCAGAAAGCACGAGGCCTAGAGTAAAGACACAGGGGAAAAAAGGGTCATGCCAGAATAGCATGTAAGACAGAAGAGCTGGTTCAATGATGTGAAATGACTAAATCACCTGCCCTGTGTGCTGTGTTTTAAAAAAAACAGGCATAATGCTTTCTTCTTTTTAAACAGAAAGTTGCCTCATGTGGTTTTCTAAATATTATTTATGGGACCATGTCCAATGCAAATGCATTTTGAAATGAATCATTCATTGTGAATCATACAGATTGGTATTTCCAAGATGGCTCCAAATATGTAACTCAGATTTTAATGATCAAACATCTTAAGCCCTAGGAATGGCTTTTAGTTTAAAAAACAACAACAATGTTTAACCATTTGTACGAATGGGGAAAATGTATTTGATTTTGTGTATATAATCAGCAGATAGGCAAAAGTGGAATTTGATTAATAGAAATAATTTGGGAATTGTTAAGAATTATGTGAAAAGAGCCTTTGAATAATGAATTACTTGGTAATAGTGGAGGGAATGCCTTCTGAAAGTGGATTAATCTGCTTCCAGTGATTTTCAATAAATCACTTTTTTTTCCAGCAGTAGTGTACATACATGAAATGTACATGTAAGTAGGAGTTTAATGTCTTCATGACCAGTCTGTCTGAATGCAAAAAAGAAAGTGAGAGTTGCTGCTTTTGCATGAGTCAGGATTTAATAAATATTTTATGGGTGTACCCAGCATGCAAGCTGTCATCTTTCAACCTGCAAGTTTAATAATTGGTATTTATTGGCAGTCTTTGACTGTTGGGTCCTTCATATTTTTAAAGTCATAACTGCTGTTTTTGTACACATGGTGCCTTAGTAGTTATAAAAATGCAACTAAGTGCCTAAAAAAAATTAAGTTAATTTTGCAAGGAGACCAGGACTTGGTGATAAAAATTTACAGTTGTGACTTTATTATGCTGATTCAATATATACAAACAAATATACATTCCTAAGATGATTTCTTCTCTGCTATTGTCAGGTCTTTTTTTATAACTTCAAACATAAAAGCAGGTTCAAATTAGAAGAGGCTTTGTTACCCAGCTTTAGAACTCAAGTGCAATGCTTGTGTGTTTTCTTTACCAGGCTTTGTGGTTTGTTCAAAATATTGAGTCTGCTTGTTGAATTCTAGCTTTGTAGTGTAGCCATCAGCTTGTAAAGTAAAGCAAGAATTCAACAGAAATTGAGTTAACAGTGTCTTCTACTTTTATTTGGTGGCTTGAAATTTAAAGTAGATCTGATTTTTTTCCAAGGTGTGCTGCTGGCTATGATATTATTGAAATGCAGCCAGAAACCCAGCAGAAGAAGAGGTACCAAGTGACCTAGAGCTGGAAAACAGGGAAAAGTAACATAAAAATACTAATTAAAAAGGGATGGTGGTGAAGTATGTTTGATTTTACTATTTAAAATTTGTACAAGAACAGATTGGTAGGTTAATGATTTAATACCTAGAATTTTAAAACAGAAAAAGAAAAGAATTTGCAATATCTACTTCATGATAACAATGGAAGAAACGTTAATGAAATTCAGACCTACAGACAACTTGTTTTGAATGATTACTTGCTATATCAATAGATATACCTAGTCAAAACAGCTGAACAAGGTAGTGTGTACTTCAGTTTTTTTCCTTGTAACCTTTTCCAGACCATGAAAATGAATGCAACTGCAAAGCAACAACTGCAATCAGACCTAACTGTATCTAGTTTGGTTAGAAATTCTCTTGGAATAATGTTTGTTGTTTTGCATGCTGCATAGGTCGTCACTGTGGATCAGTCTCGTACATGAAAGCAATTGTTGACATGCTAAGTACATTCCACATTAGCTCTGTATCCACCCACTCAATACAGATACTTGCATCTTCCCACGGCCCGCTTCTGAAACTTTTCAGCCGGGAAGATGTAACAGACTGATCTTACACTGCCACCTAATGGAGTGTGTCAGTTTTCTATTGTGATATGAGAGAAGACTGTTTCAGTGGATAACTTCAACATTGAACTTGGCTAATTGAAATTTACAGCAGCAGATAGACAATGGAAGTTTAAATTTTTCTACTGTCGGTTTTGTAAACTGCCGCA